CTACATTGAGTGAACCTTTCATCATAAAATTTAACGAGAATCAATCCGAACACTTATCAAAGCTAACTTTAGTCACGCAATATTTACATTAGCGACATGCGAAAACTCTCAACTGTTCAAAATGGGGAATTCCCTAACGTTAAGAGAAAAGTGTAATAAGTAATGTGGAACAAAAGTAGAGATTTCTTATAAACGTTATTTTTTCTAAAAGTACAGCGGGCTGTTTGAACAACTACTTTTGCTGGGAAGGTGCACCCAAGCCAAGACAAAAGCGGCCCCGGTAAAATTCACAAAGTGATTCTTGTATTATTATTATTATTGTTGTTATTGTTGTTGTTGTTCGGTTTTCAAAACGCGATTGAGACCTTTAGCTTCTTATAGCCGGCCTGCCCTTTTCAGTGGCGATTACAAACCTTAAAGTAGGGGCGAGGTGGAGGCGCTTTGGGCGAAACAAACGGAAGTATCTTGGCAACCAGGTTTAATATTTCAGGCTTCTCAACGAGGGTTCCACGTCATGGAGTTCCACTTAATATATGTAGACTTTCACCTCCCTACCCTCCAATTCACTCTTTTTACTCCTTTTTTTTCAAATTGATTTTCTAGAATGGAAGAATGTCTTGAATGTGAGGGCCATGGAGCGTGGGTAATCGCTGCCGTCGTCGTTGTCGTTATCGCTGTATGCGTCATAATTATTGTCCTCAATCCCAGCATGTCCAGCGAGCTTCGAGGACCCCTGTTTTTCTTCCAGGTCCTCCCTATTATCTTCGAGCCTAACAACGTCATTGGAGAATCGGTGCTCTATGTTGCAGACCTGCTAAATTTTGGAGGACCCCTAGTATATCTTCACAGCTGTGTGGTGGAAGGAATGAATAATTTGTTTGCCGTCGCCTTGGGATACCTAATGCCCTTTGTCACGCTTATTGTCTTTCTAATTTCGTACATATTGAGTACGAGCTTTTACCTGGTCAGGTTTAAATTTCGCAAAAACTCCAGCCTGCAGTCGTTTTGGTTAATGACGCTGTTCGTGTACAACTACCTTGCTGTGACATCTTTTATGTTGCTTCACTGTCCCAAAGTTGGTGGAAAGCTCGTTTTCTTCTACGATGGAAACGTCCAATGCTTCAAGGGAGAACATCTTGGGATGGCACTTCTGGCCATGTTTGTTCTATCAGTGTTAGTTGTTCCTCTTCCGCTGATCGTCCTTGTTTTAACCAAAGGTTACTGGAAAGTTGACCCACAGTACGTCAGCACACTGACGAATGGGTTGAGCCCGCATTGCTCATGGTGGTGGTCTGTGGACTTGTTCAGGAGATTGTTGTTGATGGCAACGTATGCGTTTATTCCAACTTGGCATACTAAACAGGTGAGAGACTTAACGCCCTAAATTACGTACTTCTAGAAACTCATAAGGGGTTGTCAGTCAACCACTTACGAGTTTGTATAGGTAATAGCATGATTTGTAGTGATATTTGGCATAAATACCACGAGTGATATTTCGAAATTGTTATACGTAATTTTACGAGCAGTTAGGCGAGTGAAATTTGAGACCATTTTGAAACATCACGAGTGGTATTTATGCCAAATATCACGTACAAATCATGCTATTATTTGTTTACACTACTACCCGCAAAAGGTTTGTAATTTTCACATGTAGGTATTTCAAATTAAGCTGAAATACCACTGCTCTAAGCCAATCAAATTGCAGTAATTTTTCATGTAGTAGTATAACTAGTACGACTGAATGCAGGGTGGGCCATCAAACTTTTGGACTAAGCTGTTCAGTATACAAACGGCAAACGAATCACCATGCAAATGAGACTGAGTCGTCCACCCAATTCAACGTCTTCTCTAGGCTCGTTTTCTGCCACTCTCCGTAGGCCGGTCTTTCATGCTCCCTCGAGCTCTCTCGGGGGATGATTGCGGGATTATTTTCCCGACCAGCGGCTGGCAATCGAGCCCACCTCTTTTCTTTTCTGTCCAATTAGAAATGTAGTTTTGGTGGCGAAGTGAAGTTTTCCAGAATTTTGGAAAAGTTTGAAGCAAGTTTTTACCAGTAAAATATTTAGCTGTAATACCAGAGGTGTTTTAGGTAATACTTAATTGGTCCCTAGTCCTTCATAGGTTCTGTCGTTAGATATCCCCTGTGAAAAATATCCTCACTTTTCACAGGCCATCCCCACAAGGGGACAACTAACAATGCTCTTGACTTAAAACAAATAGAGACGTCTTAAACGTCCCCTCCCCCTCCCTTTTCCCCGTTTTATCAACTGGCGCACTTTTCCAACATCCTGGCCCAACAGAAAGACACTGAAACACGATAAGGAACGCTCGGCTGTTACGCAAAGACGTCCCTTTCCAGGTAAACCATATCATAAACATCCCAAACAGACTGAATCGCTGTAGACTCTCCAACTGACCGACCAGCGACAAGAAAAACGCGGGAGCAAGAATACACAATGAGAATAAACGCGAAAGAACTGGGGCGAGATAGGCTCCTCACTCTCCCCAGTCTTAAAGCGTTTTTAATTGTACTATTTTTCTGGTCTTGTCTACACCATCTCTCAGCTGAAAATTTGACTAATACGCTGTTTTTCAGATCGTCATGATCCTTATGTGCTGCTTGATTCTCGCAGTACACAGCATATTTCAGCCATACAAGAAGAAAAGAGTCAACGTGGTAGAAACCTTGTACCTCTTCGCCCTTTGTGTTATGGCAACCATGCAAGACTTCGACGACCAGGACACTGCAAATGTAATCTGCCTCGTGCTGCTGATTTTAACCACCGTTCACTTTGTGGCCGTAATTATTTATAAGGCCATTGGATTCTACCGCAGTCGCTCTAAGCGCCATTGTCCGAAAAGGTTCGCCAAGCGTCGAGGGTACGGGTCAATAGCAGGAACAGATTTTGAGACTTCTATTGGTCCCGAGCAGATACGAAGAAAAAACATTTTCGACATAATATTTAGTAATTCTGATGACAGCTCGGATAGTTTCGGTAAATGAGTGAAACTTAATAAAAAAAACCAGCGCATTGTTGGAGATGACCTTGCAGTCGGTGACAGCACAGTTTGGAAAACACCTAACCTGCGTCAAGCTCGGGTAACAAAAATCCGTACAAAGCGCTTAAAAAAAGGGGAATTTTGATAGTGAGCTGGAAATTCAGTTATTTTAACTTACGAGCTAGGATCTAAGATGGCGCCTTTCCTCAGATACTCAAACGGGGCTTTTTGATTCAGGAGGATTTGTTAAGTGAGGTGGCAGGCATGCGTAGTGTACTCGAGGAGCGAGGATGGCCGTATGAAATTCTTTAACTCCCCCATCGAGTCACTGCCAAGAGGGCCAAGGCGAAAAGGGTATTACAACTAATATGACGTATAATATATTAAGTTGAGAAATGAAAATGTCAAAGAAATAAAAATTTTTAAATAAAGAGTCGTAATACCATCGTTGATTCTCCATGAATTAGACCAAGTTTTTATGGAGAAAAGTTGTCCCGGGAATGAGGTTAAACCTTCCTGCCGAGTTAGCCTGTGAGCAAGCTCTCCTTTTTGGGCGAGTCTCGCGAGAACGCGCGGGCGAAAATTGCTCCTTTCTCAGCCCCTCGCTCGCGCGTTCTCGCGAGGCTCACTTCGCTTGCCCAAATAGGAGAGCTTTCTCGCAGGCTAAGCCGAGTGAACTGAGAAAAAAAGTTAACCCACTAGCATGCTCTGATTGTCTCGCATTGACTAGGTTGACAGGCTCGGCGAGCCAAAGTGTTCATAAGAAGAAAACGTAGCCCAGCTATCTTCTCGCTGAGTTGTTTTTCGCCAAGTTTTGTAAGGAAATGTAGGGAAAGTTGGTTCGCCCAAGCCCAAGGATGCTTGGGTAGGCGAGTAAGGCCTGTTTAAACTTCGTGCTGCTGCCGTTCTAAGCTGGCTCGACTTCAGCACGACTCTAAAGGGCTGTTTACATGGAGGGAGGAAGATCCTAGTACCAGGAAGATCCTAGAGGGCGGATCATCCTAGCGCCATATGTTTTCTGTATTCAGTTTGCATGCAAAGGGTTGTACTTGTCCCTAGCACTAGGATCTTCCTAGCTGAGAGGTAGGAAGATCCTGGCACCATGTAAACTGCTTTCGCTAAGAAGATCATAGTACTAGGGACAAACCCGACAAAAATGTCGGCGGGTCGTTCAGTGGCTAATTACGGCAATCAAGGCCGACCATTTCGTTTGGAGTAATCCACAAGCAGATTATTGTGTTAATTGAGCTGAAAGGTAGTGATTTACGCCAGTTAAGAGAGGAGAAGGAGCCAAATTGCATTTTTGACTTTGTCGTCCGCCATTTTTAATTCTTTCTCTAACCTTCTCTACTTGGACAACTCACGGGCCGAAATTTCTGCATGTAAACCCAACGTAAAGTTATCCCACCTTCTAGGATCTTCCTGGTACTAGGATCTTCCTCCCTCCGTGTAAACAGCCCCTAACACGACTGTAGCACGACTTTAACTCAGTCGAATGATTATAATAGCTGTTGCGGAAAAAAAAAATAAAAAAAATAAAAAGCGATTTAGTGAATTTTAAAACTTATTCTAATGTATTTATAATTTATGAATTGAGTTGACACGGCAGTAGCACGACTTCCATCGGGTCCCCGCCCTCTCCCTGCCCTTGGCCTCCACAGAAACCTCATTCTCATACCCAGAGTTCTCGGGCTCTTTAGTCATGGGGTGGTCGCCAGAAGAGACTTTGTCCTTCCCGGTATTACAGAAGAAAAAAGGTAATAAACGCTTTTTCTACCCAAAAATATACCTGTGCCTGAGGGCAATTTTTTTTCAAGTTCTGAAATTGTGGAGCTGAGTCAAATTATGGTTAGAACGGAAATGTCACGCAATCCGCTAATTGAGCAATCACGCTATCAACACGGTCAAGGAACCTGGGCCGAGTCTTCGTCTTTGCATCGCTCTGTCCTGCGTTGGCTCATCCAGTCTTATTTTGAAGGAAATATTCCCCTTTTTTAACCATGCCAGGAAGAAAAGTTTATGTTGTTGGCGTCGGCATGACAAAGGTGAGTGATGAGATAAGTTTTGTCTGTAAATCAGGACCAATTTGAAGTTACGTAAACTGTCATGATCCAGCGGCCATGATGAGTCAGCTGGCGATCAAGTGAACCAGATTGAACCCTATAGTACTTTACAGTGAAACTATATTTTCTAGTTTGAAAAGCCTGGCCGACGAGAAGATTTTGATTATCCTGATATGGCTAAAGAAGCAGGTTTGTTAATTTCTTCCTTTTTTTGTATTTTATACACCGTAACCAATTTAGCATTGAAATTGACGACCTTTAACAGCTTATATATTTTGTACTTTCAATGACAAAATTTCAATATTTCTCCACTAGTCATCATTGTCATTATTGATAATAATCGTAGCAATAGAATTCACACATTTTCCTTGTTTAGGATGTCAAGCCCTTAAAGATGCAGGTTTGGACTACAGCAACATAGAACAAGCTGTTGTTGGTTACTGTTATGGTAAGAATGTATTATGGGCCATTCCATTAAATAGCCACCCCTATGGATGAGGTTAGTTGACTTTTTGCGTCCTAAGAAAAAAAGAACAAAAGTAAACAGAGTCCCTGAGAAAATAGCCCAATATATTCCCCTTCAGAGAAAGGCAATTTTTTTCTCATACCGCACACTAGCTGACACAGCCGCTCCCTGAGAAAGAAGTTTCAAAGCCTTCCTTGGAAGATCTCATCCATGGGGGTGGGGGGCGGGGAAGGGGGTGGGGGTTGGGGTGGATAGTAAATGGATGGCCCCACGTAATTATACATAGCAAGAGTACTTTACTTGGCACTGATTGCTGTGAAGAATAATGGACCGTTTTTGAATATGTGTAACTTGTGGCCTGCTTTACAGATATAATTTAACCTCAGTAACATCTGTGAAGCCTACTGAGATCCTTGGTCTGTGCCCCACTTACTGGACGTGCATTTTGAATTTCCTTTCATAGACGCCCTATAAGGGTAAATTTTGACACTTGAGGGACATAGCCTTGAAACAGCGACATAGGGCAGGAGAAATGCTGATAAATGACACAAAGATGGGTTGAAACTGTGACAGCGACGAAAAAAGTGCAAATACAATGGTAAAAAATCAACAATGACATGGCTTCCTCCTCAATATGTGAAACGACAGGTTTTGAAATTCAAACTGGGGACATTCATAACCCCCCCCAAGAGGGCCTTTTCATACTGATTAGCAAATCAACAATGGCTTTTTTAACAGGCCAATCATGGCACATGCTCAAATCCTGGTACACAGTTGGGGGCCAGGTTTAGTTCTAGTAACTTATACTAGGGTATAGGACCCATCTCTTTTCTGAGGTATTCCTCAAGTTAAGAAATGTAATATCAAGTTTTGAGTGGGCAGCTGCTTTCAGAAATAACATTCTGGCATATTTTAGGTGTCCTTGGTTTCCCATGCTCACTGTAATTAAATACATGCATTTTTAATATTTATTTATTTATTTGTTGTATGAAGGTGATTCAACATGTGGTCAGAGAGCTCTTTATCAACTTGGCCTTACTGGAATTCCAATTTACAATGTAAGTTTATGGTTGCTTAGTATCATTTATGTTGCAACTGCATGTATGAGTTAAAAAAAAATTGCAAGATACTGTAAAGCAACTGAGAGAACCTTAATGCAGTATTTTTAGGCGAATGTAATTTTTTAAGCCGTCTTTCTATTACACATTGTATTAATTGCCCTAATTAGCAGACACTTTTGTGCCATTAGAAAAGGTCTTTTATGCAGCAAATTGTCTTAAATATTACCATTACAGCTTAAGCAATCCCACTTATTGATGTTTAACAGCTGGTGTGGTCATTAAAAAGTAATAATAAATAACAAAACAAAAGCAACAACAAAAGGCAAAAACAATACTTAAATACTACTGAGTGGTTGGTGGGTGATTTTTGACATGTTTTTTTTGGAATTGAGCAGAATCAGCAGAGAGGAAAATCATGAAGACATCTTGAGGCAGGGAGTCCCGCAAGGGGTGTAGCCAGCCCTTACACCTGTAGGCCCAGGCCTGACAAATTTTTGGTTTGATCACTCTACCCCTTGTAATTTTAATTATGTGTTTTGTGGGGTAAGCTAAATAAGCTTAAGAGCTCAAAGTGTTGGTGAGGTCATTGTGTACTAGTCATGCATGCAATTTTCACGGCAGGATATGTGGAAATGAAAGTCAGCCAGGCCTACAACTAGTCAAAAAACTGGCTACAACCCCTCACTGAACTATAGTTCTAGGATAAAAAAAAATAGCATGCATGACTAGTACAGTCATGCATGAAATTTTCACGGCAGGATATGTGGAAATGAAAGTCAGCCAGGCCTACAACTAGTCAAAAAACTGGCTATGCCCCTCCACTGAACTATGGTTCTAGGATAAAAGGAGAGTCTTTGATGTCTGCTTCTGTGGGTTGGTGAACACAGATTGCCCCCTGGGTTCAGTTGCAACTTAGTTAAGTCTGGAAAAAGTTTGCATCCAAACGTCTGTAAAAACCCTTAGTAATTACCATCATTGTTGAGCTCTTGCATACATGTGTACATGTCAGGTCCCTAATGTTTATAGTCATGAGCCACTCGTTACAGACTGACCAGTGCTGATAAGTCGATCTGAATTAGCCACTTCTAGCCATTCTGGTCATTGTTGTTTTTATGCAACCTTTTTGCTGCAGGTAAATAATGCATGTTCTATTGGTTCCAGTGCACTGTATTTGGGAAAGCAGTTGATTGAAGGAGGTAGACAGGCAAATTAAGTTTTGTACACTTTTTTTAAGTTCTTTAATTTTTAAATGCAGCATTATCGAAGTTGTCAGTTCATTGATCAGAATTGCAACCTAAAGATCTAGAGCTGAGTTTAAGTTCTTCTTAGTATGGGTTACTTGCTAGAGTTCATAGGCTTGTACTCCCAGTCAATTTCAAAATGATACCAGCCTTGTAAAACCATTTTGTTTAAACGGACAGCTGAACAGAGACTTGGAGTCAAAAACAGAAATGAACTTAACAGGAATTTAACTGGAATGGTTTCATATGTTCATGTAGCTCAGTCTTTAAGTCAGTGTCAGTGGAAAGTCAGTCAGTGAAAGCAGTTTTGGTGTTCTTTATACAACTGTACTTTTAGTAAATCTTAATTATAAGTATTGATAATTTTATACATCTTTTAAATGTTGTTTTTATGTACAGGTATATCAGACTGTGTTCTGGCCTTGGGATTTGAGAAAATGGAAAGGGGGTCTTTAGGAACAAAGGTTTGTGTCAGTTTATACCTTTTAATCATACAGCAACTGTTTTTGATGTATGTGTTGTGTACTAAAGAGGGAAGCAATCTTGATGTGCCCCAGATAGAGGCCATTTATAACTCTTTGACTCATGAGCAATTAAGTATTATGCAGGCATGTCTTGTGGGTTTATGAAATCCTTGGTATAGTACTTAATTTAGATCAAAGCTCTCCAGAATTACGGTGTTTTTGTATTAATAGCATGATGTGTTTTTCACAAATAGCCGTGGTTATGTTGTACATTAACATCTGAGACGTTTAAGTCATCTGGCATAAAAACGGGACACATTAAAGTAGATGAAAACTTTGAAAAGTAGAGTTTTCTGAAAAAAGACAAAACAGTGACTCTTTCCAGTTGTTTCTGGACAGATTGGGCATATATACATCCCAGTTTAAGATGTCCTGTTTTTCTACTAGATGCATTTTAATAACGTCTGAGGTGTTTAACCCTGTTATCCATAATGACTGTGCGCTCCTTGTCATTAATTAACATGCAATCGTAATTTTTTTCTCATAGTACAGTGACCGGACACCACCAATGGACAAACACGTAGAGGTGATGATTAATAAAGAAGGACTTGCTGCAGCACCTTTAACACCTCAGATGTTTGGTAATGCTGGCAAGGAACACATGAAAAAATATGGTGAGATAAATTATATGTATATCAGGGTGAGATGAAAAATAATAATGATAATAAAAAATAGCTTGGCTATTTGGGCAAGCTGCTGTTCAATTTTACTATCCTACACAAGTCATGTAGCCTGTAGAGTATTCAGTAACTTGCTGGACCCCCCTTTTTACTAACATTTTGATTTGGCAAATTTTTGCTTGCCCATAGGACAACTCATACGTAAAAAATGCTACATGTAGCCTGATGGGTTGTTCCATTATCTCTGGGCTATCATACAGCACTTTTGTCACATCCTGTGTATGATATCATAGTGAAGCTCTATGCGGCAAAGCTGTGCATGCCAGAGCAACCCCGTGGAGGTACTCTAGGATTTTTCGGATTTGCCACTGGTATCCTGGTATACTTAGCCTGTACCAGACCCAGTTTTGCTACCCTATACAAGACTGAACTCCATAACCCCTCCTTACTTTAGAATCGGTAGTTTTCGGAAAGTAAAATGTACTGAGGCAATCTTGCTGGTCACTTCAGCCAAAACATTGCTGTTGTGGTTCATTCTCTTCACCCAAGGAAACATGGAAAGCTGCAAAAACCTGGAAGAAAAATTTGTCTTTTAAATCGGTGCTCTTGATCCCCAAGAAATCAAGGCACTTAACACATGTACCTCCATGTATACTTTCATTGTTCTCAAATCTTTATCCATGTTGTAACAGGAACCAAGCCAGATCATTTCGCCAAGATTGCATACAAGAACCATCTTCACTCAGTGGACAACCCGTAAGTAGGAATAAAAAAAGACTGTTGTTGGCTAGGCTGTTAAACACCTAATGATAATGATCCCATCGCTTTCATCTTTTTACTGCTGGGATGTAGCAAGCCTTTAGAAATTAGGGGGGTGCAAAGGTTTTAGGTACATTGTAGCTCATTGTATTTGAAAAGCAGAGGGTTTTGGGTCCAAAGGACCCATTGGACTGGTCACTGTATCTTAAAACCAGAAAACGTTTTTCCTAGCTGCAGGGACATGATTGTTTCAATTTTCTGGGAGATGAATTGTTCTTTTCAACTTTTATGCATGAATGTTTTGACTTTTGGGTCAGAAAACTGGGGCATGGCCGGGAGATTTGATGAAAAACTTGGAGACTCCCGATAAAAGAGTTGGCAGGCATGTAGTAACCATAGTCGTTGATAAACTAACAAAACAAGTGAATGCACTTTATCAGCTATAATATTTTCATCTCCACAATGTTGCAGCTTGTCACAGTTTAGAACAAAGTACAGTTTGGAAGACATAAAGAACTCTAAAATGGTATTTGATCCACTTACCAAACTACAATGCTGGTAAGTGAAAAGAATATTATTATGTAATGATAATGATTGAGATAACGATAACCATATTGATAATGATAACGATAACGATAATGATATTGATAATGATAGCGATAACGATAATGATATTGATAATGATAGCGATAACGATAATGATATTGATAGTGATAACGATAACGATAATGATATTGATAATGATAGCGATAACGATAATGATATTGATAATGATAACGATAACGATAATGAACGTGTGCCTGGGAGGCTATCAATGCTTCTAGTGCCAGCAAATACATTGACTCTTGAATAAAACAGGCTTTTTAAAGTGAGAATTTTTTGTAAATAGTTATTTGTATTTATTCATTTATGAACGCATCATATCAGTCCAACATCAGATGGCAGTGCAGCGGCTGTGTTGGCCAGTGCTGAGTTTGTTAAGAAGCACAACTTGCAGGACAAAGCTGTTGAAATCCTTGGAATGGAGATGGCGACTGACCTCAGTAGCACCTTCAACGAAAACAGCTGTATAAAGCTGGTGAGTGGTTTAACAGTAAAAACCCGTGAGAAAAAACCTGCATTTTCCCAAGTTAGCCTACATAGGCGGCGGCGGGGGGGGCACGTTTTGGTGCGGAAAAACACTTTTACTGATGTATTGACAATACCTGTGACATCGCCGACTTCAGAGCGCACATTTTCCGCTCTCAGGCGACTCAAGAACTACCTAAGAACCACAATGAAGCAGGACGGCCTGAACAACTGCCACACACTAGACACTATGACCTCACTACGGCCCTCCCTCCGTCTGAATAGAATTAACACTGTGTGCTATACTATTGAACTGCTCTACCCCAGGTAGGCAGCTTTAGATTCTGTTGATGTGACGGTGGGAATCCTAAATTATTGACTTGAATTGCAGGTTGGTTATGACATGACTAAAACAGCTGCCAAGAAATTGTTTCAGAAAACTGGTAGGCTTGTTAGACACGTATTGCTCATAGAAACAGTCTGACCTCTCGTTACACAATAATGTTGTAAGCCTTTTTTTTTTTTAGAAGAACGTGTTCGTCTGTTAGCGTGCAACAGAATTAAGAACCGAACGAATCGCCGCGGTTGAATCGTCAAGGTTGATGAAATGTGTTCGTCGTTTGTCTCAGCTTCATCAGAAGAGATTTTCCCAAAGTTTGTCTTACTACAACGAGACATGCCACTTGCGAAAAAGGGGGAATTAACTTCACAATGGAACCTCGAGGAATGATAAAATGTACCAGAGACTTATCAAAACCTTTTAAATCAAAAGCCAGTTTATCTAAAGAAAGCACTCTGATTATGTACAATGTACTTTATTTACCAAGGCATTACACCTAATGATGTCCAAGTAGTAGAGCTGCATGACTGTTTCTCTGTCAACGAGCTGCTTACGTATGAAGGACTTGGATTGTGTGCTGAAGGTGAGTCTGTATTTGTTTGACATCGATAATTAGAGTGGCATTTATTGATTTAATGTTTTCTTCTTTTCTTTTTTTTTTGTTTTATGGAGAAAGGAGAATTTAACGTTCTTAAATCAATAAGTACTGGATTCGACAGTGAAAAATCGACCAAGGGCCAAGGGACTGGCACTATTTGTTTGCTATTACGAGGTTTCGTTATATCGAGGTTCTTTTCCATATACCATTGCTGGGTAGAGAAAATTGCTCGTTGTAACGCGGGCTTCGATATATGGAGGTTCGTTATATCGAGGTTCAACTATACCTTGTATTGAAACGTCATGCAATAGGACTGCCGCCGCCTGGAATAAGGCCTTAGTACTTGTTTATGGCGGGGATCAGCTTTAGGTTGCTAAACTAAAAGGGAGCACCTGCCTAATTGGTGAAGCATTTGTTTAAAAACATGGGATGGTTATGATTTCTGGAATTCGTTTTAGTGCCCATGGTCTCCTCTCAGTTTATGAGCTATTGTTCTTAACACTAGGCTTAGGGAGCTTAGGCAACGGCGACGAGAACAAAAAAACAATAGGTTGATATTAGCTAAACAACTTTGCACGTGCATCACGTTTGCACGTGCATCACGCTTTTTAGTACATTTCTTTGCCGTCGTTGCACGACTTACGACGTGAAACGGCCTAGTTTCACGTTTTGTGTGGGACGTGAACATAAGAAAACGATTTTCTTTTCCTTTTCCTGAACTCTGATACAGTCCTTTAGAATTAATCTCCAGAAAAATTCGCCACAATTTGTGGAATTGAACAAAGTGGAATAAACGCGATAAAGTTTGAAGCAGCATGAATTCACTTTTTAAGTGACTTTTTTGTAGCCGTCGCCGTAGTTGTTGCTCTCTCTGAGGCTCCAGAAAGTGGAACATTAATTAAGTTTTAAATGCGCAAACCTTTTTTGTTGTTGTTGTTGTTTGTATGTATTATTTCAGGACAGGGAGGACAGTTGGTGGAGAGAGGAGATACCACTTACGGTGGAAAATGGGTTGTAAATCCCAGTGGAGGACTCATTTCTAAAGGACACCCTCTAGGGGCCACAGGTAAAGGAAGAAAAAAGCCAATCAATGCCTTGAATTCGGTTCTCGCCTTGAAACACCTCATGACCTCTCCTCTGAGTCGGCCTCATGGGCTATTGACTCAGAGGCCATGAGGGCGAGAGGAATAATTGTTTTAGTAAAATCCAACTAGTTGGTCAAAAACATCGACACAAAACAACCTTAGATAGCAAAACGCGATTCAGCCGCCATTGTTTTGGTTTTCAAAGCCTGCCCTTTTCGCTACTAGTGGGCTGTTTGGGGGTGGGGCGGAGGGGGGGGGGTACTCCCTATAATGGCCTTTACGAAGAGGCTATGCCCGAAAGTGGTAGTTAGTTTTCAGTTATAGAGTGGTTTTCGTTTGAGTGTCGTAAAACCAAAACCAAAGTAATTACTCTGGCCAATCACATAGGACACAGACAATACATTGAACCAATCAAAACTCGAAGTAATTACATGTGGCTGACGCAAATGCGTCACAATTGGCTTTGGTTTTACTTCTGATTGGATGAAAAGGTGGCGCGAATCTTTTAAGCCAATCGCATCGTGTAGAAAGTGCAAAACCAATTACTTTTCGACACTCAAATGAAAACCGCTCTAAGGCCCAAAAGGGTTAACAGATACATTTTTGTATTTTATGGTTCTGGTTTTGTGATTTATCCATACCGTAGGGTAAGGGGTTGGACCGTGGGGCGAAGCCGTCCGTTATAAAACCCTGTTGAGTACTCGCCCCTTTTGAACAAGGTTCATTTATGGATAGCTCAAAAGCTGTTGGCACATTGATAACGTAATGTTTTATTTAGGTCTTGCTCAATGTACAGAACTTTGCCGCCAGCTTCGTGGTGAATGTGGAAAGAGGCAGGT